GGATCTGTTATTTCTACAGAAGATGCTGGTAGTGGAGCAAAAGTCCTTGATACTATGAGTTTTCTTAGGCAGATGAAGCTATTGTAGGACCTTACACTTACTAATTAGAATTTGGGTTATCTGGTCTGTGGACCACCATTTTTTAGAAATCCAGGCTTCTGAAAATCTTTTTAATCAAAGAAAGACATGTTTCTTCCCTTATATGCTAGACAGAAGGCACATTGGGTATGTTATGGCTTGGAAAAATAAGTTAACTGTCAGTACTATATGGATAGAACAATTCAGGGAGGTACACAGCCTAGAAGGACACTGCCAACTGGCCTCCCTGTGCTTCCAGATTGGATGAACTCTATCCACTAGAGTGTTCAAAGCATCTTATTATCAGCATCTGTCTTTTCTCTGTTAGTCAGCTTTTCCTCACCGAGACCAAAATACCTGATAAGAACAAGATAGAAGCAGAAATGTTCATTTGGGGCTCATAGTTTCAGAGGTCTCAGTCCATGGTTGGTTGACTCCATTTCTCTGGGTCTGAGCTGAGGCAGAACATCATGTCAGAAGAGCATGATAGAGGACAGTAGAGTGAATTTTAAATAAGGTTTTAAAAAATACACATGACTTAAGTATTGATTACCAAAAGTGAGACTCTTCTTAAAATCAAAAGTAATAGTAAAGTTCTGGTATTACAGCCAAGGTGTAGTTAAGGGAATTATATCTATAATTTTAATTTATAGTAAGTTACATTAGAGACATACAATACTCTCAGAGAGTAATGAGGAAGAAGAGGGACAAAGAAAGGATTCTCAGAAAAGGAATATGACAAAGAGAAAAGCATAAAGGAAATAACATAAAGCTTATGGCTAAGGAAAAAGAGAAATTATGTATCAAAAAAATAGAATGTATAGGGGAAAAACAGTTTTCTCCTCTGCTATGCTTTTATAATACTGTTTTTTTTTTGGGGGGGTGGGAGGTGGGTACTGGAGATTGAATCCAGGACTTCACACATGCTAGGCAAGCATTCCACCACTGAGTTACATCCCAACACTTTTTATTTTGAGACAGGTCTAAGTTGCCCAGATTGGCCTAGAACTTTCAATTCTGCCTCAGCCTCTGGAATAACTGGGGGTTTTACGTGTGTTTCACTATGACTGGTTTTTACAATATTTTATACTTCTGATCACCAAGATGTGTGGGTTTTTCCTACGCTGAACAATTCTCTAACACCAACTGGGTGTCCTATAATACAATTCAATTCTGACACTATCTACCTGGACTTAGCACCAGATCCCACAGGTTTAGGGTCAGTCTCACAAAATTGCCCCGCCCTCAAATAGATGCCAATAATAAGTCTAGGGCTATGATACTTCTAATTGACCAGCGATAAAGTGGAGGTTCCCACAAACCTCTCCAATCAGGGCTGGGGTTGTGGCTCAGTGGTAGAGCATTTGCCTATCATGTGTGAGACACTGGGTTCGATTCTCAGCACCACATATAAATAAATAAGTTAAATAAAGGTCCATCAACAACGAAAAAAAAATTTAAAAAATCTCCAATCATTTGTTATAAGAACTCACAAGACTCAGGGAAACTCTTTACATATATTTACCTTTTATCATAAAAGGATCCAACTCAAGAACAAACATATCAAAGAGATAGACAGGGAAAGACTCTAAAATAAGGAACACTGTAGTGATTGATTTGGGGCAATTTGCCCCTCCCCACTCTGGGACGTTTGACAATGTTTAGACACTTTTTTTCTTTTTTTGCAGTGCTAGGGGTCAGAACTCAGGGCTTCATGAATTCGAGGAAAGTGTTCTACTACTGAACTAAAGCCTCAGTACCCAGAAAAACTTAAATTGCTAAGAATGAAGGGCTGGGATATAGCTTGGTGGAACAGTACTTGCCTAACATGCATGAGCCTCTGGGTTCAATACCTGGTACCCAGGAAAAAAAATTCTTAAAATGCTAAGAATAAATTTAACAAAATATGAGCAAGTTTTATATGTATGCTACATAATTTTCCTAAGGGACATAAAGTAAATCCAAATAAATAAAGATAAATGAAGATAAAGGAATGTTCCTGAAAATGTTCCTGAAAGTAAACCTCAGTACTGTAAATAGGTTTATGCTTTGCAAATTAATTTATAGTCAAGTAAATTCAATCAAAATACCAAAAGGAATCATAGGAAACTTGGTAAATAAATGTAAAATTCATATGTAAAATAAAAAAGTTCAGGTTTTATGGTAATATGAAAGGCTGGCCATTTCCTCTCCATAAATATCAAGGATAAAACTGGATAGAATTATCAAAAACAATCATTTTAGGGCACTGGAAATTAACCAAAGGAAAACTGCAAATTGAAAAGTGTTTATTTAAAGAAAACTGACAAAGTTATAGGTTAGAACAAAGGGAAGCTCTGTCCTGCCTGAAAATATTCCTAACTACTTACTTCTAGCTAGGATGATGAGCCTGTCAGTTTTACCAACATGATGTTAGCAAAAAAGAACCCAGCAGCTTTGTTGGCAAAAGGTCTGACTCATTTCTGGGTGAGGGAGCAAAAACTTGTGGCTTTGCCCTCTTCAAGTGTGTCACCATCCAGGAAGCCCCACACATCCAGCCATCTGGGAGCTCTCCAAACCCCACTGGGTTTTTGTGGAGACTTTAAATAAATTTGAAAAACAAGAAAAGAGCTTTAAAATTGTTACTCCTATTCTTACAATAAGAAAAAGTTAGAAAAACTAAAAGTCAAGTTTTCTTGGACTCATAAGAAAAGTGAGGTTACAGAGCAAATTATTACCCTGCAATAAGGAGAAAGAGGTTGAATCTAAGAAAAACAAAATGTCTATTTTTCCTCTCATCTCCCACCATAATCAACACAGACTTCTAACACCAGATATGTAAGAATTTCTCCCCACCAGCAAGTGAGCAATCAGTTTTGCAGCTGGGTGTTCTCTAATCCTGTTCAGTTCTGATACTATCTACTTAGAGATAGCATCAGATGCCACAGATTGACACCCCACCCCACTCCATTACTTTAGATGTCATCACAAGCCCCAGGTGGTCTTTACCTGTGCTTCTGACCTGTGAAGGGTCCAGATAATCTGCTCAAGCTGCTCACAGAACTTGGGGAAACACATTTACCAGTTTACCATAAAGGATATTACAAAGGATACAGATGATACAACATATAGGTCAAGGTATGGGGGAAGTAGTAAAGAAGTTCCATGCCCTCTTCAAGCTTGCTACTTCCAGGAACCTCCACATACCCAGATATATGGAAGCTCTCGGAACCTTGCCCTCTTGGGGTTTTATGGAGACTTCATTGCATAGGCAAGGTGAGGAAACCCAGCAAGGTTCTATGTATACCATTTCTTCCTTCAAGGTATGGGGCAGGACACCTCTGGACTGAGGAGGGTCTTTTTATTATTGGTTCTTTTAGTTATACAGAACAATAGAATTCATTTTGATATGATTATAAAGGCATGGAATATAATATAATTGTTCTAATTCAGTCCCCAAAATTTCCCCTTTCCCTCCCCTTACTCCCTCCCCTCTACTCTACTGGTCTTTTCCTATTTACTTATAGTTTTTTTCTACTTGTAGTTTTTTTTTTAAATATATTTTTTTAGTTGTAGTTGGATACAATATCTTTAATTAATTTATTTATTTTTATGTGGTGCTGAGGATTGAACAAAGGGCCTCGCCCATGCTAGGGGAATGCTCTACCGCTGAAACACACACCCAGCGCCTCTACTTGTGTGTGTGTTTTTTTTTTTTTTTTTTAAATTAGTATCTTGTGGATGCACATGCTGGTGAGATTCACTGTGGTATATTCATATGTTCCTATATATATACATACACACACACACATACACACACTCACAGGTTCATTTCACTGTCTTTCCCTATCCCCTCCCTTCATACTTCTTTGTCTACTCCACTGATCTTTCTTCTTTCTTTTCTTTTTTTTTTTTATCCCCCTATCCCATTTTGGACTAGCTTCTACATATCAGAGAAAACACTCAACCTTTGACTTTTTGGGACTGGCTTATTTCACTTAGCATGATAGTCCCCAATTCCATCCATTTACCAGCAAATGTACAAAGTCTTTATGGCTAAGCAATATTCCATTGTGTACCACATTTTCTTTATCCATTCATATGTTGAAAGGTACCTAGGTAGGCTCCATAGCTTGGCTATTGTGAATTGTGCTGCTATACATATTGAAGTGGCTGCATCATTGTAGTATCCTATTTTAAATCTTTTGTGAGGAGTGGGTGACTGGGTCAAATGTTGGTTCTATTCCTAGTTTTTTGAGGAATCTCCATACTGCTGTCCAGAGTGGTTGCACTAATTTGCAGTCCCACCAACAATGTATGAGTGTACCTTTTTCCTCACATTTTCACCAACATTTATTGTTACTTATATTCTTGATAATTGCCATTCTAACTAGAGTGAGATAAAAAAATCAAAGGGGGGCTTAATGACCTATTATCAGACAAGGGAAGTCAGAGATTTTTTTTTTTTCAGTGATGAGAATAGAGAATTTTCTTATAGCTAACTAAAGGCAAGGAAATATCAGAGTTTCTTAGGAGTCACTCTCAGAGAGAGAAGTTCTAATTTTGTTTTCCTGTGCTGTAGATTGAACTAAGGACCTAGCACTAGGCAACTGTACCACTAATCTATGTCCACAGCCCTTTTTAATTTTTCATTTTGAGACAGAGTATCACTAAGTTGCCCAGCCTGCCCTCAACTTGCAATCCTCCTGCTTCAGCCTCCAGAGTACCTTGGACTACAGGCATGCACCACAGCACCCAGCTTACCACCCAAGTACTATACCTTTGACTTTCACAGATTTTCCAGAACACATGCAATTAGCAGATGGCTCATATAACATAGTAAGTTCTATAATCAAATGTTGAGAACTATTATGATTGAAACTAATTGTCTTTACATCCTTACTATTATCTCTTCAGAGGACTTTCCTATCAATGCAACTTACCTGCATCATGACATTTAGTGTATATTTTTGATCTTCTCGCTTTGCTGTAGCTTTTGCTTCTGTAGCCTCCTTTGCTTTCTCCTGTGCTTGTAAAATAGATTTTTCTCTTATTATCTGCATCATCTCTTTGTCCACTAAAATATAAGGAATATTGGTGAACCAGGATTATGATAAATTCTTTGACTTAGGAGAAAACTACTTAATATACTAAATCAGGATGAGATTTATTCTGACCCAACTTCACAAGAAGTGAAAACATGTTTTAATATTCAACTGACCAGGGGTTAACATTAAAAAGGTAAACAATTTATGGTAATAATAATACTGAGGGGGGGACAGGAAGGGATCAAAGAGGGATGCAGAGGAATGAGAGAGAAGAGGGGAGAGAGGGAGGAGAAAAGATGGAAGAATGGGAGACAGGAGAATACATTTGTCTTCCTTCCTTTCTGTTGAGAACTAGTGCTATTTGCCTATAAACCTGATCATAGTGATTCATCTCTTGGTATCTCCTAGAAGGGAAGATGAGTGGAGAGCACTTGAAATAATCCACCTGAAATAATCAATCACCTTCTAAAACATAGTATTCATTCATACATATTAAAAGAGAGGGCCAGGCCCAAGAAAATTCCAAAGTAGCATTGACATGTTCTATGTACAGCTTTACCATTTGCAATTATATTTACTGTAGCTCAGTGTTTTAAAAACTGCAGACTGTGGTCCTTTAATGGGTAAATTATCTTGGGGAAGGAGAAATCAGAACCTGAGAGAAAGAATCTAAGAGAGGAGGAAATTGGTGGGGGTGGGGGCAGGAGGTAGGTCTGAGGCCTCTCCCCAACCCTCTTCTATTTAGAAAGAAGGAAACAGACAGTTGGATAGTTTCTGGAGCAGGGAAAAAATCAAAAGAATACAATTTTCCAAATGAAATTTTCCATTTAAGTATATCAAGAAGGAACTTAAAGAAAAAATTAAGTGGGGCAAAGCATGGGGGGTGTAGTTGAACACATCTGTGATCCTAGCTACTAAGGAGGCTGAGGCAAGAAAATAACAAGGTTGAAGCCAGCCTGGGCAATGCAGCAAATATCAAAATAAAAAATAAAAAGGGCTGAGATGTAGCTCAGTGGTAAAGTATTTGCCCAGGGTGTGCAAGGCCTTGGCTTCAATATTTATCACTGCCAGATTAAAAAAAAAAAAAAAAAAGAGCAGCAAATATGTTTTGAGTAAGGAGGCAGACAAGCTTAAAGCACAGGCTGGAGGTCCACAGAACTTTATGTGAAAAAAAGATTGTTAAATAAATAATCTCACTGAATTGCAAGTGAAACTGTTTCAATTCTAGAGGAATCTCAAACCTAGTTTCTGACGTAGAATCAATGTCTATTAATTGCTATGTAAGTTAGTTTTAAGACTTTTGATTAGTTTAGATCAGAGACTTGCAAACTATTATCCAGAGTCAAATCTAGAATACTGTTTCTCTAACCCACAAGCTATGACTAATTTTTCACTTTTTTTCTTTGAATTAGAGATTGAACCCTCAGGTGCTTAACCATCGAGCCGCATTCCCAGACTCCCCTGCTTTTTTGGTGAGGGGGACAAGGTCTCACTACGTTGCTTAAGGCCTTGCTAAGCTGCATTCCTCCTGCCTCAGCCTTCACTTTTTTTTTTTTTTTTTTTTTGGTATTGGGGGTTGAACCCAGGGGCACTTAACTACTGAGCCACTTCCCTGGCCCTTTTTTGTAGTTTATTTAGAGACAGGGCTCACTGAGTTGCTTAGGGCCTCACTAAGTTGCTGAGGCTGGCCTTGAATTTGCGACCTCCCTCCCAGCCTTCTGAACCACTGGGATTACAGGCATGCAGCACCACACCTGGCAGCCTTCACATTTTTAATGATCAAAAAAAATTTTTTTTAATTTAGTGTCAAATAAAACTTAGATTACATTCAAATTTCAGCATCCACAAATATCTATCATCTGTGGCTGCTTTTGTGCTACAGTGGCAGAGCTGAGTGGAAGAGATAGAGACCATTTGACCTGCAAAGTCTATAAAATATTATCTGATCCTTTACAGAAAATGTTTGCTAATATGGCTGTCCACATAACTATGAAAGAGGAGAATCAAGTAGCCTTTCAATACAAACAGCTGTGTAAGACAGAAAGAAAATTCCCCTCCCACTTCTGGAGAAGGCTGCTATCAGGTTAAAATGAGAATTTGAGCCTGGCTCAGTGGCGCACGCCTGTAATCCCAGTGGCTCAGGAGGCTGAGGCAGGAGGATTGAGAGTCTGAAGCCAGTCTCAGCAACTTAGCAAGGCCCTAAGCAACTCAGTGAGACCCTGTCTTTAAATAAAATAAAATAAAATAAAAAAAGGGAGGGTGGGCTGGAGGTTGTGACTTAGTGGTAAGCACCCCTGGGTTCAACTCCCAATACCAAAAAAAAAAAAAGAAAGAAAGATTAGAATTTGACATAGAATAAAGTGTTTAATGTCAGATAATATGTGTAGAAAAAGTATTAAGTTTTCCTGATAATTACCCTCCTATTATATACTAAGAAGATCATGGCTAAAATACTTCCTAGGGGAATTTGTTGGCCAGAAAGACACACATATAAACATCTAAGTCCGTAATTGTGCTTGCCTCATCTGTTTATTTTTAAATAAGCCGTTACAATAGATGATGGTTCTAGTCCCACTTAATGTCAAAATTAAAATTATTAGGAAGAGTCAACATAAATGGAAGTGTTAACATTTAGTCTTAGCTCAGAAGTCAGAACACCCAGGTTGTGTTGTTTGTTTGTTTTTTGTGATGCTGGAAGTTGAACCTGGGGCCTTGTGCATTCTAGGAGACACTCTACCACTGAACCACATTCCCAGCCTTTGTTTTTCATTTTTTAAAACCAGAACATTTACTGGGTGGCTTGAAACTCTCAAAATGTACTGGATGTTGCAACAGCTGCCCTCTTGGGTTTAAGAGTTGTTCCTTCACAGAATCTATGCCTGAATCTGTGTGTACAATTTTTATGTGCCTCATTCAACCATAGTATTTTGTCTTTGAGTGTTGGCACTCCAGTTATACTTTCTCTTGCACTTGGCAGGGTAGCCATATTTGCCACAAGTTGACTTCTGAAGGTGACAGACCTGAGAGCCACAGCATCAGCACAATGTGTGCATCTTATTATGCTTTACAAAGGTTTCTGGGAATGTTTTATAATATGTCTATCACAAGTCACTGAGTCACAAAGGAAGGCAGGGGTGGGAAAACAGGAATCTGGTTTTTAAAAACTCCTTAGGATAATTTGGAACTCATTAAAGAAATCAAATAACATCTCTATGGTAATCTACCTTAGTAAGTATTGTCTGAACTAAAATACTAGATCATAGGAGGAAAAAATTCTACCTCAGTGCTGGTCTTGAGGATTAAAAATTAAATCCCACTGTAAGATACCAACAGAGATTTTTTTTTGCGGGGGGTAGGGGGGATTGAACCCAGAGGCACTTAACCACAAAGCTGCATCCCCAGCCATAATATATATATTATGCTGAGGCTGGCTTTGAACTCATGATCATTCTGCCTCAACCTCCCAAGCCACTGGGATTACAGGCATGCGCAACTATGCCTAGCTCAACACTCTCTCTCTCTCTCTTTTTTTTGTAGTTGTAGATGCCTTTATTTGTTTATTTTTATGTACTGCTAATTGAATCCAGTGCCTCACACATGTTAGGTAAGTGCTCTGCCACTGAACTATAGCCCTAGCCACCAACAGAGTCTTAATATAAAGAATGGTTGCAGTCCCTTCCATTCTTTTTTTTCTCTTTTCTTTTTTTATTATTTATTTTTTAGCTACAGGTGGACACAATATCTTTTTTATTTTTTATGTAGTGCTAAGCCAGTGCCTCACACATGCTAAGCAAGCACTCTACTTCTGAGCCACAATCACAGGCTCCTTCCATTCTTAATAGCACATACTTACAGTGAAATGACAGAAGCCTATGAGAAATTCTAAGTGGTAGATTTAATGTACTAGAAGACATGGCAACTAGAAGAGGAAGGAGGAAAATAAAGGTAAAGCAGTAGAAGACAATTACTGACCCACAAAGCTTGAGCTGGGCAGTAGAAAAGAATACTACTTAAGAGTACAGGAAACTAGGTTTACACAGAGATCTCAACTTTGGCTGTATAATTCCTGGAAAGCTCTTTTTAAAAACTGCCAATTCATGGGCTGGGGCTATACCTCAGTGGCAGAGCACTTGTCTAGCATGTGTGAGGCACTGGGTTCGATCCTCAGCACCATATAAAAAAATAAATTAAATAAAGGCATTCTGTCCATCTACAACTACAAAAAATTTTTTAAATGCCAGTTCCTGGGTATCACTCCCAGAAACTAATTTTATTGATCTAGGATGAGTTTCAGATGTCTGTATTATTTTATAAATTCAAAAAGTGATCCAAATATGTAGCCAGGGTTGAGAACCTCTTTTAAAAAAACCATTTGTCTTTCCTAAATACATGCTGTTCTAAGTAGCCTAGTCTTTCTCCTTCACCTTCCCCTATTAAGAAGGTTTATATAAGTCCACTAGCCTCAGCAACTTGGAGACCCTGCCTCAAAATTTAAAAATAAATAAATAAAAAGCACTGCTTATGTAGCACAGTGGTAAAGCATCCCTAGATTCAATCTCCAATTCGGGGGAAAAACTATATGAACTGAAATTTCACCACTTTTTTGAGTTATTCACTTTTTTTCTGCAATGCTGCTAAATATATAATATTAAAAGTTAATAAATCTGTAGGCACTTTCTCCTGTTAATCTGCCAGATTTTTCATGTACCAAGCTATAAAATGTAGAAAAGTTTTTCTTCCCCTACACAATATAGCTGTTTCAAATAATTTTTAAAGATATAAATCAGAAAAAGCTCAAGCAGATGAATATCTTTTAATAAAGAACTTACCACTTGACATAGAAAGCGTCTCCCACATGACCGCTTCTTTTTTATACAAAGTGAAAACAATAGTGTCATTCCCAATCTTTGCTTTGCTGCTTGCATCGTCTATGGGAGCATAGAGAAATGCCTCAAATAAAAATGGAGGAAAGTTCACCTGTTCAGAAGAGACAAAACAGAAATTTGGCTGGTCACACAAATTAACGATACCAGCATTAAAAGAAATCCGTGTTAAAAAGCCAAACTAATTTTCCTAAAGGTTCACTAAATCTATTCTAGGTAGCAAAATTTAGCAAGACGTGAAGAAGCCCTGAGCTGATGTCCTTTATCTACAGATGAGATGTCACCTGTTTGTTTAAAAGAAAAAAAAGAAAAGAAAAATTGAGAACGGTCCTCTGCAAGGAGGCTCGCTTTGCGCGCGCCCAGCCGCGCAATCGCTAAAGACTCGGGCCACACCCCCGGGCGGACGGCACCACTAGCGTCCCTACCTTGAGATAGTTTTCGGTGCAGAACACGTCCGCGTCTCTGACACAGACGCCTCGGAGGGGCAAGGAGAGGAAGACCGCAGTCTTGGTCTGCTGCCAGCTGTAATTGCTAACCAGCAGCGGCATCCCGGGAGTGACAGTCGCGGGAGGGTCGGCGGGTTGCTGCCGGCGACTCCTCGGTTTCTAGGGAAGCTTGGGTTACCACGCGTCACCCCTTCCGGGTCAGGCCGGGTGGGAGCCCCTGGCTCCCAGCGTGCCCTGGGCGCACTCTGTCGTCTGGTGACTGTCAGGCCCCGCCTCGGACTGAGGTGTCAGTCGGCTTCCTGGGGGTTGCCCTCCTCCACTCCTGCTGCGAGAATTTCCAAAAAGTAGACCCACGTCTACATAAGAAAAGTCTTCATGCCTTAGAATGCAAAGAAAGGATGTGGACTTAATGGCTCAGGAAAGCGGTCGGTCGAGGAGCAGGTGTGACACCTGCGTGTTACTGGAACCTTGAACCTTTGTTCTGACCGAGGCTATTTGGAGTTAGCACCATTTGATGTTCCTATTGAGGAAATGGGTCATACCAGGAACTTGGTGCCCTTTCGTAGTTCTCCAAATCCTACAGCTCTAAGGCCACCAAAAGCACCTAGGTAGGGTTCGCCAAGATTTGAAAACCGGGGAGAAAGGACCTTATGGCTCACCTGACATGTACTTTGCTGCAACTCAATAGTAGGATAAGTTGGATTTACACTGGTACATTTTACAATTACTTCAGTAGATTCTGAATTTTAGGGCTGCAAAGAAACTTGAAGGTTGTGTAGTTTTATCCTGAGTATTTAAGGAATCTAAAATCCATGCACTTAAACCCATTGTCACATAGATTTGTGATAGAACAGCTATTAGATCTCTTAACTCCCATCCCAATATTCTTTCCCTGGGCTATTTCTGTAATTCCATTTAATAAATTACTAGAATGATGCTAGCATAGTTAATTCATATGATAATTTAGTCCTGCAATTTACTTGTCACCAGGAATTTGGATTTTAAACTTTTTACTTTTGGAGACAATTTACACAAATTTCAAAGAAAGTCCTTGAGAAAACTTTTAGGAGAAAGTCCTTGAGAAAACTTTTAGGAGAAAGTCCTTGAGAAAACTTTTAGGAGCCATAGACTTAAGGGAAAATATCTTTTCCCCCAAACAGGGCACTGACTACCTTAACTAATTTTGTCAGCAATTCGTTATCTTAAGCTTCTGATAACTTTGAATAGTGGGAGTCATCTAGAATTTTCTCCCTTGGTCTCTGCAAACTGAAAAATGTATGACTTCTATGTATGTTTTCTTTTTTCACCCCATATTGTTTTTGGCATTTCCCCCCCTTTTATACTATCTCTACTTTTCCCATATGGTCTCAAACTGTCATGTGTCTTCAAAAGACAGAGTTTATGTGTCTCTTTCATATAAAAATTTAAAGTATAGGTTCTCTTATTATATAAAAATACAAGACTGTCTTTCCCTCTGGAGATAACTTGCATTCTCTCTTGAATGTGTATTCCTTGCTTTACCCCCAAAAGTTTCTCTTTTGAGATGGCCCACATTCTCTCTTGAATGTACTTCTCTTTTCCTAAATAAACCTCTATGGCTCTGACTGGTGTGTGCTGAAACTCTTTTTGATCATGTATGCTAAGAACTCTGTTGGTCATAAGTCAAATTGCCCTTTCTCTCCAGGAATTCCTCAGACCCTTCTTAAGAGACCTCTCTTTTCTGGTGACATCACCAAGTACAGTGGCATACACTGGTAATTTCAGCTACTCTGGAGGCTGAGAAGGAGGATTGCAAATTCCAGGTCAGACTCAGCAATTTAGTGAGACTTTCAGCAATGTAGCAAGATCCTGCTTCAAAATAAAAAGTTTCTAACAAATTATGTTATGTCTATGTATGAATAAACCACAATGAATCTCACATGTATATGTGTGTATAATATTATAATACACTAATTAAAATAATAACAATAACAGTAGATAGGGAAGGGAAGGGAAAAGGGAAGGTACTGGGAAATTGATCAAATTTTGTCATTTGCATGTATAAATATGGCACAATGAATGCATAATTTTATTTATATATTTGTTTGTTTACTTACTTATTTACCTATTTTTTGTGGTGCTGGGGATTGAACCCAGGGCCTTGTGCATGCGAAGCAAGCACTCTACCAACTGAGCTATATCCCCAGCCTACACATAATTTTAATGTGCCAATTACAAAAAGGACTGGGGAATGTAGTTAAGTGGTAAAACACCCCTGGGTTCATCCTGGTACACGCCTGTAATCCAGCTACTAGGAAGACAGAGGCATCTCCCCATCTCCATCTCCCCAGTACTAAAGAAAAAGAAAAACTGAATAAAAGAAAAAAGCACTAACCATAAAGTAAAATATTCAAAACTTGAGCTAAATTTAATAACTGATGTTCATGAAAAGGCATGATAATGTAAAGATATCTGAAATAGTATATATATACTATTCATTGCCTTACAGCCAAGGGCCATAAGTACACCTATGGTTGAACAACCTGAGTTCAACTCATTGAGCAAGAGAGAACAAAAGCCATGGGATATCTCAGTAAGAGGCTTTTAGAATTTAGGGACAGTTATAAGAGAGGAAAGATTCCCTCTAAATTGAATCATTTCAAAAAGTGAAGGTAATTCTACTGATAAATTTCAGGAAGGAGATCCCAAATATAACTCCCTGGCTTAATGGAGATATATATATCTCCATTATATATATATGTTTTTTTTTAATTTTTTAGTTGTGCATGGGCACGATAGCTTTATTTTATTTTATTTTATTTAGAGAGAGAGAGAGAATTTTTATTTATTTTTTTTTAAGCTTTCGGCGGACACAACATCTTTGTTTGTATGTGGTGCTGAGGATCGAACCCGGGCCGCACGCATGCCAGGAGAGCACGCTACCGCTTGAGCCACATCCCCAGCCCCATGATAGCTTTATTTTATTATTTATTTTTATGTGGTGCTGAGGATCGAACCCAGGGCCTCGCACATGCTAGGCGAGCACTCCACTGCGAGCCACAACCCCAGCCCAACTTAACAGATATTTTAAGTTGAAGGAATTTGAGAAGGAGTGACATCCCTCCACCCCTTCTCTTCTGAAGCAGATCACAGGACCCTCATATGAGAAATGCCTTCCTTTACCCAAAGGAAAGAGGCATCTTTCTCCGAAAAAGGAAAGGAACCTGAAAAACACTTTCTAAGTTCTTCCCAGTTTATAACACTTAGCTAATATACTTTGTCCTACCACATTTTCCTGCAAATTTCCACTCCATCAGACCTGGCATTAAATGGTTAAGTTTCACTTGTTCCATTCTTAATTTCCTTATGAAGGATTCCAAATCATGTAAAATATATATTAAATAAATTTGTATGCTTTTCCTTTGTTAATCTGTCTTCTGTTACAGGAACCACAGCCAAGAACTTAGAGGGTAGAAGGAAAAGACATTTTTTTCCTCCCTTACCTGATGATTTGGTAAAGTAGTAGCGGTTGCTCACTTAGACAAAATTATCATCATTTTGTTAGTCTCAGAGTACTCTTGTCTCAGGTTAGTATTCTGTGTGATTGTTTATGTTCAGCAGAAGAATAACTTGACCAAGCTGTGGTGTCAGATCTGCTTCTGAATGTCTGAGGCTTCTCTATTCTCTTATTCAGTAATCAACAATGAAAACATATAAGCAAAATATATAAAAAGGAAATACAACCCTACATGAAAATGGGCAAATTGGCATGATTGCTTATTCTATAACTAGCAATTCTACTCCTAATTATATACCTGAGAGATTTCTAACAAGTTCCTAGGTGATGCTGCTATTTCATGAACCATTGCTCTAGAACAGGGTTTCTCAACCCCCATGCTATTGACATTTTAGGCTGGATAATTCTGAACAATTTGTGCTGCTCTGTGCATTAAAGGATGTCTAGTAGCATCTACCCACTCAATATTAGTAGTACTTTTCAAGTATGGTCATGAAAGTGTCTACAGACATTGTCAAATGTCTCCAGGAATGGGGGTGGGAATAGTAAAATTGATGCCATCTGAGAATCACTGTCTTAGAAAAAGTTTTGGTCATGTACATTAGGACATATTTATAGGTCTTCATAGAGTCTTTATAGAAAAGACCTGAGAAATGACAACAGCAATATATACACACAACCGAATATCATTAAACAACAAAAGCAAGAAAGTTACCATTATATATTGGATGGATAAATTAAAAAAGCAAACCAAATAACATTCTTAGCAAATAATGCCATTTTAATAAAACTAAAAAAAAAAAAAACTAAAACAATTGGATAAGAAGTCCTATGCATGTGAAGAAAAGGTAGTGATCAACTCAGGTAAAGGTAGACAAGAGGCCCATTTTTTTCCCTCGTTTAAAAAATTTGTTCTACTTAGTTATAATATGACAGCAGAATGCATTTTAATTCATTGTACACAAATAGAGCACAACACTTCAATTCTCTGGTTGTACATGACATAGAGTTGCACCATTTGTGCAATCATATATGTACCTAAGGTAATGATGTCTGTCTCATTACATCATATTTCCTACCCCATGCCCCAACTCCACCCTCCCCTTTGCCCAATCCAAAGTTCCTCCATTCTTCCCCCACACACACACCCTGCCCCATCATGGATTAGCATCCACTAATCAGAGAAAACATTTAGCCTTTGGTTTTTGGAATTGGCTTACTTCACTTAGCATGACATTCTCCAACTCCATCCATTTACCTGCAAATGAATAGGTCCATTTGTGGTAGCCAACAGAGCTGATCACTACACAGTCACACAGTGTGAATTAAGACAAAGGTTCTATGAGATATCTTGTTGCATGCCTATAATCCCAGCTATTAGGGAGACAGAGGCAGGAGGATTACAAATTCAAGGCCAGGCTGGGTAACTTTACAAGACTCCATTTCAAAATAAAATTTTAAAAAGAGCCAAAGATAAAGTTCAGTGGTTGAGTGCTTGCCTAGAATGTGCAAGGCCCTAAGTTTAATCCCCCATAACACACATGCACACATACACACACATACAAGACAGGTTACCAGAGTGTTGTCCTCCCTACCAACAACAAAACATTAATATCACCATCATCTGGAGACTCATTAGCAATGCAGATTCTCAGGCCCCTCTCAGACTGGAATTCTAGAAGTA